TTGATTAATATTATTTCAATTATATTAATTAGATTAAATTATATATATATTAAATTATATATTATATATATTAAACTAAATTGATAAATAAACTGATATACAATTAATACATATGTATTTTTTTTGTTGAAAAAACATAGTGACAAAATAGACTAATTAGATAAGTCGTTAAGTAGAATTCTAAGAATATATTTATGGCGGTTGTTGTTGTTAAGGGTGATTAATAAAATAAATTAAAAGCTAATCAGAGTTTTGAATAAATTATAAACTAATCAGGGTAGTTTTATTTGTAAATATAATAAATAGGAATATAACATATAATTCAGGTAGACATTGTTTTCACTTTTTCGCCAAACTTTGATATCTTTGATATTAAAAATATTTTTTCCAATAATTATAGATGGTAGTGTATTAACCTTTTTTTTCGGAACCACAATTCGTAATGATTTGTATTTTATCAATGTGAACGAAAGTCTATTCAAATATCTAAATTTGTAAATTTTAAGTTCTTTAATTATCAATCAGTATTATTATAAAGTAGACGACATCAAATTTTACCGATTTATTTTTACTTAAAAATTTCATTGCGACAATATCTCTTTATTCTAAAGCATTAAATGTTGTTTTATAAAGTTTAATACGTTTTCTGTTTATTAAATAGTGTAAAAAGATGATATAGCATTCCACAGCGATTAAAGTGCTTCGCTTCGGTTCAAAACCTTTTGCTTACACAATTTTTTTTTTAAATCCTATCCAGTTTTCTAGAAAACAAAGAAAAACAAGTTTAAATGCATATAGATGTTATACGCATTACATAAAAATAAAGATATAATATACTATAAGAAACCAAACGGAGAGAATTTTTTAAAACGTTTTTAAAAATTTTTAAAAACATAAAAACGCTGTTGGAAATTTGTTGCGCATATATCATGATAGAGATACTTTTGTTATAGGTAATTAGTTAAAACTGCGAGTTCAACACACATTAAAGAGATAACTTTCTTTCTTATATATATAAAAAAAAAAGGTTTTACATGTAAACTGAAATTTTTATTAAAATTAACTGGTCAAGAGTCCTGTACGGAAAGGTTTGAAAAAAAAATTGTATTCTGAAACCTAAAAAAAAAAAATTTAGTTACTCCAGAAGGTGACAAACAAAAAACCCACAAAATTTCGCCTAATCCGCTAATAGATTCGCTTGAATATTAAGATATAAACAAATATTAAATGATTTTTGTATTACGAAACGTACGCCAACTCTTAAACCACTGTAAAACTACCTTGTGATTATCTAATTAAATCGACCAAATCCGTTAATAAAAGCAGCTTAGTTAATAGATTCAAAACCATCTGATTTTTGTATTATGATATATGCGCCAGCTCTAAAACCAATAAAACTCGGTCATATGCTCTCTTTCTCTTCATATCGATTATAACAATTGCGAAGCGAGGGACAACAAGTAAGTTTCATCTACAAGATTCATTTTTGTAATCTTCATTTAAAAAATTAAACTTAATTTATAACTACCATGTTAATATGTTTGAAGTTAATATGTTTTTGACCCAAGAATGAACGTTAGGATTAATTATTAGAAATGAGCAGCCAAGATACAGAAGGCTAAAGTATTCTTTTTATTTTGTATAACATTAATTAATTAAAGAGATAAAAAGAGATGATACGTCAATAATACTGATATATTTAGCTTATTATTTTATTAAGAAATTACATTGAGATAATTTTGTATATCTTTAGGCGACGAAGAAGTTTCTGCATTTTTTCGAAGTAAGCCATTTATATATACCATATATATATACCAGTAGCAGTTACATATGTTCTAAAAGTGGCGGAGCAGTACTTTTTCACGTGTGAATAAAACGATGATTTATTTTAGCCGTTTTTAATTGAAATCAATCAAGATATGCCGCCCTTCCCTAACCCCGTGAATCAAGCACACCGCCCTAAAATTTAACTAAAATTAAAAAAAGTATAAATTAATTTTTAGAACTTCGAAAGGATCGACCCGAAACTCAGTTTTTGTTTATTCCGCTATTTTGATTGATGTTTTTATAAAGCGGTGAACCTTAAAAACGCGTATAAGCTTTATTTAAAGTGTTTAAGCTATAATTTTATAAAACGTGTTTAAGCTAAAATTGACTTTAATTACGTAAAAGTTTAGTAGTTAAAAAGTCTTTTAACTACTAAACTTTTACGTAAAATGAAACTTTTTGTCATTTACTAAATGTGTTAAATTATAAAACTGTGCAGCAGTTTTAAAATTTAAGACAAATCTTATATGTTTAATTGAAAAAGTGAATATTTTGAAAATTAATTTTGTCTATATATATATATATATTTATATATATATATATATATATATATATATATATATATATATTATATATATATATATATATATATATATATATATATATATATATATATATATATATATATATATATATATATATATAAATATTTATATATTAATATATTAAAACCGACAAAAAAAATATTTATATATGTATATATATATAAATATATATATATATATATATATATATATATATATATATATATATATATATATATATATATATATATACATATATATATATATATATATATATATATATATATATATATATATATATATATATATATATATATATATATATATAAATATAAACATATATATATATATATATAATATATATATATATATATATATATATATATATATATATATATATATATATATATATATATATATATATATATATATATATATATATATATATATATATATATATATATATATACATATATAAATATTTTTTTTTGTCGGTTTTTTTTTTTTTTTTTTTTTGGTTTGTTTTGTTTCGTGATTGTTATTTTCGTCTTTTGTTTTGTTCCAACTTTATTTATAGATTTCCTAAAGTTGACAATTATTCTGCATGTTAGTTTCTTTCTTAATGTTAATGAGTTTTTTTTTTTTATTCTTTTTAGAAAAATTAGAAAATTCAATTGGTAAGTAAATTACACTTAGGTTTCTTTTTGTTTAATTTTAACACACGTTTTTTGATGTTAGTGTGCGGTTTTATCACTGTAAAATAAACTATTTAATTGATTAGTATATGTTAGTTTATGTAAATATATTTTTTACCTCCACTATAGCGTCATTTGCAGTACCATCAGGTGATGCGTTTTGCATTCTTATGCAGTTTTAAGAGTGTTATATGTGTTAAAACTTAAAAATAGCATATCTTAGTTTACAGATTACTTTATTATTTATTTTTTTGTCTCTCCATTTGCACCTCAAGCAATAATATCAGGTAATCTGTTTAGCATACTTATGCAGTTTTATGGGTTTTGTGTGTATTGAAACTTAAGCAATACTGTTTTCATGCAATTACATAAATGTTTAACATATGTTACTTTATACACTTTTTTTTTTACCTTCACTATAGCACTAATGTCATCATCTGCAGTACCATCAAGTAATGAATTTTGCATACTTAAGCAGTTTTATGAGTGTTATGTGTATTGGAACTTTTCATGTTTGTAAACAATTACATAAATGTATAACATATGTTACTTTATACACTTATCATATCATCTGCAGCACCATTAGGTAATGTGTTTTGCATACTTACGCAGTTTTATGGGTTTAATGTGTATTGAAACTTAAACATTACTTTTTTCATGTTTGTATGCAATTACATAAATGTTTAACATATATTACTTTATACACTTTTTTTTTTTTTACCTTAACAATAGCATCAATATCATTTGCAATACCATCAGGTAATATGTTTTGCATACTTATGCAGTTTTATGGTTTTTATTTGTTTTGAAATTGAACATTACTTTTTTCATGTTTGTTATCAAATACATAAATGTATAAAGTAACATATGTTACTTTATACACTTTTTTTTTTTTACTTTTACAATAGCATCAATATCATCTGTTGTACCATCAGATAATGTGTTTTGCATACTTATGCAGTTATATGTTAATTATTATTGTGTTATAAGTGTTATGTTAATTGGAACTTAAACATTATTTTTTTTGTGTTTGTATGCAATTATATAAATGTTTAATATATGTGTTTGTTTATATACTTTTTTATTTATTTCCGCAATAGCAAAAGTATCAACTGCAGTACCACGAGGTAATGTGTTTTCCATACTTATGCAGTTTTTCCATATTTAGGCAGTGTTATGTGTATTAAAACCTAAACATTACTTTTCTCATGTTTGTATGCAATTACATAACTGTTTAATATATATGTGTTAGTTTATATACTTTTTTATTTATTTTCATAATAGCAACAATATCTGCAGGACCATCAGGTAATCTGTTTTGCATACTTATGCAGTTTTGTGGGTGTTATGTTTATTTGTGTAGGTATATATGAAATTTAAACATTGCGTATCGTTATTTTTACGTTAATTTATTTTATTTATTTTTTTTTTGTCATTTTTTTTTTAAAGTCTAAATAGTTTTAAATAGTATTTTTATTAGTTGTTTTGCGCAGTATTGTATTCAAATTTTTTCTTTTTTTGTTTTTCTTTTTTCCTGCGATATCGCTCCAAGCACCCAGGTCCGATATCTCAAAGAGCTTTCTATCGGTGGTGTCAATATGGGGGAGATGATCCCTCCTTTAGATGGAAGAGACAAGCCCCATATGACACCACTGGTAGAAGGAGGGGTGATGTGAAGCGGTTTTTATTTCTACCAGTAGCTTTTTTAAGCTACTAGTAGAATTATCTTCATTTTTAATTATAAAGAAAATTGATTTTTAAAAAAGTGTTTTTTTTAATTCTGCAGTTTTTCAATACTTTAATTTTTATATTTTCACTATTTTAATTTTTTATTTTTAATTCTGTTTTTAAACCCTAAACTTACAAAAGAAATCTCTTATCTTATAAAAGTTTTTAATAATTTGTCTACAAGTTTTTTTATTAATTAACGTTTTTACATCTTTTTATCCTCTTTTTTAATCTTAATAATACTAACTTTTCTTTTGTATTAACTTTTATTTGTTAAGTGTTATATAGTTTTTAAAAGAGTTGGTAAATATATAAAAAAAAAATTACTTTTCAATGATATCTGTTTAATATCTCTAATATATGAACTATACACCAATTTATCTCTTTACATTATTCTGTTTAGATATATTATAAAATAGTATTTAAAATCAGTTGTCAGCCACATGTGGTCTATATGATGCAACATGTTTGCAATTTTTTGCATGTCATTTTTAAATTTGTAACTAATTTTGCTTTTTAATATTATAATTAGTATGACTTTTAAAATAATAAAACTTTTTATTTGTTTCAAAAAATTTTGTTTTATTACTTACAATATAGTATGTTATTACAAGATTCTTCTGGCTTTTTCTCTGCTTCAAACCAGTTTAGTTATAACTTTTGTTCACAAATTTTATAAGACGCTATACACATAGTTTCATTGGTTTAAACTGATAAAAAGTACTTTATTGTTTTTGTTCATTTTTGATTAGCATATCAAAAAGATAATTAGATATGCGTTTATATATCTTTATTTATATTTATGTGCTTAAGTTTATATAAGTTTATATTAAGTTGTTTCCATGTAAAAAGTGATGTTACTTGACAACGTGTAGTGCAAGATTGTGATTCTTGCTAGCCAAGCGGTGTTACTAATTAGTGGTGTTACTTGGCACATAATGCCAAGCGCTCTTACTAAATTGTGGTGTTACTTGGCAGCGTTTATTGCCAAGCGGTGTTACAAGTGTTGAGCTAGGTTGTGTTTTCTAGCTTTTTTAATTATTCTGGAAACACAAAATCTGAATATTTTGTGTTATGTGCAAATGCGTTATGTACAAATATTTTATGCTATGTGTATTCAGTAGCATAGGCAGGGTCTTTTGATGCTTCAAATAGCACTTTCAACCAAACTTAAGTGTATCCACGTTTATAGAATTAAAATACCTTGCAAAAAATTGATGTTGTTAAAGCTTAGGAACAAATGTTTAAAAAAGATGTTTTTCAAAACCTGAATTTTTTTTAGACATAACAAAGTTAAACTCTTTAACAGCTTCTAAATATATATCTGAAACAACAAAAATCCTGCCTACACTACTGGTGTAATTGTTTGTCATCCTATAATGTTGTTGTGATGTTTTGTGTTGATAGACAGCTTAGCTTACCTTCACGTTGGTGTTTATCGTTAAAAATGAATATTGGGTAGCTTAATTACTGAAACTTACTCCTAATTACTTCACTAAAAGCCAAGAAATATTTTAAGAAAAAAAGCCTAATATTTTTGTGTCAGTAAGACTTTTTATCTTTAGCAATGCTTATAAAACTGAATTTAAAAAAAAAAAGAGTATTTCCAGCCTTCCAACCAAATATTAGAGACTTTTACAAAAGCACTCTCACAAAGTAAGTGTCTAATATTTATTTAATATTAATAAATTTCGTTTCGTATTTTTCGTTTTTCAAATGAATTAACATAAAAAAAACAAATGTGCGTTCAGTGTTATCAATAATGATTTTATTTCATTTTTAGATAATGCTTTTATAATCAATTTAAAAGTCTTTCAAATCGTTAATCATTTTCTAAAGGCGAAGAAGAAGAGTCATCAATCTTCATACTATTTAATAAAGCTATTTTAATAAAACGCAATACAAATTGTTGTAAATTAGTATTTGAATAATTTTCACGTTGCTACCTTATTTTGCAGTTTCCTATCACTTTGTATTGAATTAACTAAATCCATTATTACAGTTCCTTATATCAAGTACTTCACATTTTCTGTTTTTGTTTTATGCAGAAAAACAGATCAAGTTAATTTAATTGACTTGCCTAACTACTTATTTTACACGCCTTGCCACAGTGAGTGTGCATAAATCAACAGAGGATTTGGGTTTGGGCAGATTGTCTTGAACTAAATGATTTACCTTTTTCATGTTAAGCTCTAAATATAAATATACGCAAAAGGGGCATATGTGACTTTTTTTTTTTTTTTTTTCTAGCACATAATCTATTGTTCACTAAAAAATATTCGAGGGAGAAATAGAGATAAGGTTAATGTCAAATAGAGTTTTTCCTTATAAGTTAAAAACTATTTTATAATCTATCTTCTATATAATAATGCCAAACTTTATAGTAGTGTTAGTAGAAAGAGTTGCAGCACTTTTTTTAGAAGATAACGTGTATGCAAATATCTAACGTACGTAATTAAGTAATGATAAAACATACTGAAACATTTTTCAAGTTTTATAGTTTGACTTTGACTTAAAAATTGCATTGCGCCAACCTCTCCTTACTATTTGATCTACAGCAATTCCGTTAAAAACAATTTTAATATATTGTTTAAATTTCGATATTTGATGTGTCAGCATGGCCGAGTGGTTTGAGAGCTAAGCTTCTGAACGTAATAGTCGTGGTTCAAACTTACCACAAGTAATTTTTTTCTTAAAATCTTTAAATTACAAAATATTTGTGAGGTTAAACAAGTTAAATGTTTACCCTTTAACCGTTTTTTTTTTTAAATTTTATAAATTTTTTGGCGAAAATTTGTTGCGTGTGTGTCACTATTTTAATACTGTTCTCACATAATTGGTCCTAATAAGCTACGGATAGTCTTTAAAAAAAAGTCCTAAAACCTAATAAAAAAAAAACTTGATAAAACCGTCCTGCTACTCCACATGGTATTGCAGTGGAGGCAGGGGAAAAAAAGCAATTAAAAGGTTTTTCTCTATATTTAAATTTTTGCTTTAAATATAGCCAGATTAAAAAAATTTAAAAAAAATGTTTTGAGATTTTTTAGGCGCGGATTTGAAGCCTTCGACAGCGACTCTGATGACTGCGCACTTAATTTGTGAGCTATCAAAGTTATGCATGTAGTTAGGCGCTTCAACATTTTTTTTGAAAATGTAAAATGAAAACAAAATAAATACCATAAATAAGAGCTAGAAAATAACGTTTAAAAATAACCAAATTTTTGTTATATTATTATTAGTTTTTCAACTTTTAAACCACAAAATTTATGATTTATTTTTTTGAATGACTTTCGACGCTTTAAGCGACTAACGTTTTAAAAAATGGCATTATCGTTTCCGTCTAATACAAAGGTAACTATAAAAGACCGTTATCATTCAAAACTAAGCATATAATAATAATAAATATAGTAAATAGTAACTATTGAAAACAGCTACGACGCAATCATTAACCATGGTCCATGGCTGGTCTAATGGTAGGAAGTAGTTTAGCTCAGATTTTTTTTTTTTTAATAAATAAACGGGGTTTAATAAGCTATGCACGTATGCGGAAAAGTGCGTATGTTAAAGATTTTTTTTGCTCTCAAAGCAAATTTTTTTAATGAATTTTTTTCCACCGTTTACTAAAAAATATTGAAGTTAATAATACCGATACAGACAGCTAGATTAAGAAAATAAGGGAAAAGGTTTGTGTGAAGTAGACTTACAAAAACCCGTATTTTTACTGGTCGATTCAGCTAGTATATATATATATATATATATATATATATATATATATATATATATATATATATATATATATATATATATATATATATATATATATATATATATATATATATATATATATATATATATATATATATATATATATATATATATATATTTATATATATATATATATATATACATATATATATTTATATATATATATATATATATATATATATATATATATATATATATATATATATATATATATATATATATATATATATATATATATATATATATATGTTTATATATATACATATTTATATATATATATATATTTATATATATATATATATATATATATATATATATATATATATATATATATATATATATATAAATATATATATATTTATATATATATATATTTATATATATATATATATATATATATATATATAATATATATATATATATATATATATATAATATATATATATATATATATATATATATATATATATATATATATATATATATATATATATATATATATATATGTATATGTATATATATATATATATATATATATATATATATATATATATATATATATATATATATATATATATATATATATATATATATGTATATATATATATATATACATATATATACATATAAATATATATATATTTAAATGTTTTCAAAAAATCATACAAACTTACAACTTTTTCTACACAATACGTCCAGTTTTAGTCTTTTGAAAGTATTTGCATCAAGTACTTTATTAACTGTTAAACTTAAGTATCTAAAAACACATTGCTTATTTACTTAATTAATTATATATAAAAGTAATGTATTAATTGATTTTAATACATTATTTTACCTAACTCTAACCCAACCAAGCTAAAACATAAAATTGCTTGAAGTTTGAAATTTTTTTGCTGCCCTCGTTTTTATCTTTTATAGTATAACCTTTGTAAAAATGGCTTTATGTTTGCTGGTTGTAAACGGATACCAACCTAAAACAGTTTAAGGTCAAAAATTTATTACTCACTTTAGTTTTACTAATTTTTAGGGTTGTGTAAGCATGCATACTTACCTGTCATTTGGTGGCAGTGGGCGAGGAACTGCAAACTTGTGTATTCCACAATGCAAAAGTATATCAATGTCTTCATTCTTGCTGAGTCAACTGTGACAGAAGACTTTAATACATGAGTTTTGTCGCCAACAATCTGAATGAAATAATAATAATAAAAAAGCAGGAAACTTTATAAAGTAGAAAAAACTTATAAAATAAACCATTAGAGAACATGGCAGTTTTGAAAATACCTTCTCACTTAAAAAAGGATTTGCGTTTTTGAAACACTATTATGTTTTATCAAACAAATATATGAAATTACAAATAAAATAAAAAAATCACATTAGGGAAACATTGATATATTTCTGAAAATACTGCAACTCTATCAACTCTCTCAGCTGGAAATTTGTTTACCCAGGTTAACAAATTAAAATTCTCTACTTAGATCAATTAAAGTAAGGATAAAAAATGTAATAAATAAATTTAATGAATAATACTAAATTTACTAATTGAAAAGTATTGTTATCTTTACTTTCTTTACTTTGCATGTATTTGGAAACTTGCAATTGCTTAAAAGAAAACACACACATATATGTCATATATGTGTATGTATGCAACATACACATGGATATTAAAAAAATAGTACTAATACTAATCTTAAGTAAAAAACAATTATATAGTAATAACAACATTAAAATAATTATAACGAGGTAAGCAATTTTAACAATTATATTTATATTAATATATTAGTAACAAAATCTTCTATATAATATTGCCAAACTTAATAGTTTTAATAGTAGTAGTGTCCCTTGGAGCGTATTTGACACGAAACCCTTGGCAGCCATTGTAACCGAGGTATTGGCAAGAAAGAGTCGCAGCGCTATATGAAAACGTGAACGAACATCTAACGTACGTAAACTTTAACTTATGTAATGTTAAAGCATATGTTAAAACATACTGAAACATTTATCACGTTTTACAGTTTGATTTTTACTTGAAAATTACATTGCGTCAACCTCTCCTTAATTTTGATCTAACATTTTTTTCCTCAAAAAAATTACTACATTTTTATAAAATCTACACTTGATGATATGCCGGTGTAGCTCGAGTGGATAAGGCGGCGAACTTCTGAATATGGAACTAGAGGTTCGACTCCTACCAGAGGCGGCTATTTTTTTAAATTTTTTTAATTATTTTAAAATACAAAATACTTTCGAATTTTTATAAAGATTATATACAAACATATGTAACGTAACGATAATATGCACTCACAAAAGAAAAGATTTTTAGAATGCTAAAACTTCATAAAACATTAAAAAAAAAAAAAAACATCACCAGGAGAAAAAATATGTTGCGTATCTATAATAATTGAGACACTTATGTTATTAATGTGCAAATGTAATTAGTCCTAATAAGCTGCGGATGGTCTGAAAAAAAAGTTGTCTGAAACTTAATAAAGAAAAAACTTAACAAGACAGCCCTGCTACTTCATAAGATGCTGCTGTGGAGGCAAAAAAAAAAAAGCCTGTAGCTAGATAAAACTTAAAAACTTTCTTTTGTCAATTAAAAGTTTATTTTGCTACATTAAATTTTTTACTATAAATATATGCAGCAACTGTTTTTCAAAACGCCTTAATATGCTTATGACGTAATTCAAAAAAATACCAATTAAAAACAAAATTGTTTGGAAAACTTCTTCGTAAAACGTTTTTTGAAACGAATAACTTTTATTTAGTTTTTTTTTTCTTTTGTGCAACTTTCTTTTTAATAAATTTCTTTACCTTTCAGAATATGACCATTTTTAACAATGCTATAGAAAAAATATCAGTAAATTGATTAGTAGTATTTCAATTATATTAATTAGATTAAACTATATATATTAAATTATATATTATATATATTAAACTAAATTGATAAATAAATTGATATACAATTAATACATATGTATTTTTTTTGTTGAAAAAACTTAGTGACAAAATAGACTACTTAGATAAGTCGTTAAGTAGAATGCTAAGAATATATTTATGGCGGTTATTGTTGTTAAGGGTGATTAATAGACAAATAAATTAAAAGCTAATCAGGGCTTTAAACAAATTATAAACTAATCAGGGAAGTTTTATTGGTAAACCTAATAAATAGGAAGATAA